GAGGAGAAGGCATATCTTGGGGCTTATAACTCAAGCATGAACAGCAAAGGTTATCCAATACGGCCAAAAGGTACGGCACACTGAATATCCTGTATTCATAGTCGAGTACTGTCAGGGGACGACCGCATACTGACTCCTACAGATGCCGCACCGACTCCGCGTCTTGCTGAGATTACTAAAAAAAAAAATCTGCACATCGGCCAAGGTCAGACCAGAACCCCGTTTTTACAGCTCCGCACGCGTTCACAAGCACACCTTTCCACGCACCTGCAAACAGTCAATCGTTCCCTAGGTGGCCCAGGTGCCTCTTGCGAGTGAAAGCCCATCCACAACGAATTTGCCCCCATGGCAATATCAAGTACCCAAACCGACTGGGCTTTCAGGCAGTGAGGCACCGATCTCAGCCCACCGCTCACCTGTTCCCAGACGTTTTTTACGCACTTCGATATTCAGTATTGCTGTGATTGTGAAAGGCTGGGCAGCACTGGAAGTAGAAACTACTTCTATTCGAAGCAGATTTAAGAAGGGCAATTACGATAAGAGCGAACACAGAGTAATATGGAAAGACAGCAATGTCTTCTTTAATACGGGCTTGTTCCAGGCCTGCCTCCGACGATGATGTGGTGTTGTTAACCAGCACCCAAACAGTACTTATTACAGACACACACCCTGTTAAATCCTCCTACGAGGAGGCCTGAAACTCAATATTCTACAAATGAACCCCACATCTTCCTACAAACCTGAGAGGCTCAAATGGTCATTGACATATTTAGATATACAGTATATCAGGCATGGTGGTGCTAACGGAACAGTCGTGGCATTTAGGTCGCTGTAAGACAGCTGAGGTTTTTAGATCTGACAAAACCAGGACTGTATCCACAATCAGACCCTCCTGACACAGATTCCAAACACTTCAATGCACGGACACTTCCTTTTCACCAGAGAAAGAGGATCCATCGTCATCTGCGACTCAATCATACATTCTTGATTCATCACAGATCAGTACGGTCCGCTTGATTAAACAAGACAGTGACGAACGAGTAAACAGAGGCTGAACTATACAGTACCAATATTGAAAGTATAGACTACACCGTCTTTGCCATCTTTTTCTGATTTATAGGTTATTTTAAAAAGTAGGTCTCTTGCAGGACTTCAGCAATGTTATAATGTTCTCCTCAAATTAATTATTGAATTTTATTAAGAACAGGATGTATGTTCTTTTCACAATACATTATGAGGTCAGGGAGTAACACCACTGTGTACCATTTACTTTTCCGTTTTATGGGTGGAAAAATAAATATCTCTACAGAAAATGGTTAATGAATAAGACTTTCAGTTTTCCAGCACTGAAACAATTCATCATGCTCCACTGTCAGGTTGTGACTTGCATTATGATGGCTGTCAGAAGAAGTGACTGCTAGCTAAACCTGTGACTTGCAGGCAATTTATGTTTTGAAACTTGCTTCATTCTATGGAAAAGAGGTTTTCATAATATGGCACACACTCCCCCTGGAGGAACAAGTTTCAGCCAAGACAAAGCTGCACTCACATCCAACTCACGATTTGCATTTTTTCGCTAAAAATATGAGTCGGAAGAAAAAGGAGAAGAGAACTGGACATGGTGGTAATGTGCTAGCTTTCCTCAATAATGACCTGGGTTTTAAATTTCCGTTTCTGTTGACCTACTGACCACAAATCTGTAAGCCAGCATGAGGGTATTTCTCCAGCCAGCCTCTGTGTGCTCCCCACATACAGACCTGACCATCTGCTTCGCCATGTGCTCCAGTTTTCGGGGTAGGAATTAGAAATTCATTTACGTCTGTGTACTGGTATCCATCCCGAAGGAGCTGAGAGACACTGCTACAGTATACAGGAAGGGATGCACTGCAGAGCAGCTGCCCCCTGATACCGATCAGGAGGCAGAGGGAGAGACCACCTGACCAGCTGAATGGAGGGGGGTGTTGACATGGGAGAGAGGATGAGCCAGTGTGTCGGGGTGGCTCAGGGGGCTGTGCCAGTTACAGAAGCGACGCCACCCCCCTCCGAATTCTCGACAGTGCGAAACCCCACCTGCTGGACTCCTGGACAGGCAGGCTCACTCTGGGCCCGCAAGCGATCGGAATCGAATCGCAGCAGGGGAGGGAGGCAGGACGGGTTCGAAGTGGACACGAGCCAGGACACTGGGGTGAACACCCTACTCCTACACACAGACTGACGGGTTCTTTAGTGAGCTGGTAGTCAGGGCTCCAGGTTAAGGTGTCCTTCAAAGGACAGCAACACTTACAGCACATCGTTTTCCTCACTGGCTTTGTACATTCTAGCCCAGAGGGAAGAGTTACACCTACAGGTCCAACAACACCACTCGGAGCAACAATCCGATTTTCCCTTTCCAGGACTGCCCAGGCCCAGCCTTGCGGGGCGTCAGAGATCCAACAAGATGGATGGCAAGACTGCTGTGAGGCAGGTAGCACTGCCTGTCCACTGATGACAGCAATCTCATCTCAGCTTCTGTCAACTGAGGTCTCATAATACAGCATTAGAGGAATTCAGTCTGTTGGCTGTCTGGATTGGAGGCCTAGCCTGTGTGTCCTTGACATTTGAACACAAGCACTGCGAGCCAAGGCAGGACAATGACCAGGCCAGACTGCAGGCATCTCCTACAGTAAAGCGCGTCTCGCTGTATCGTCTGGAAATTCCAAACCTATGACCTCAGCTAATGGT